GATATTGTTATAGCTATAAATAGCGAGTTTGATTTTATAACGGCGGCCGAAATCGCGGGGACGCGGTGTGAAATCGCGCGCATGAAACATTCATCGTGCTCGAGGATAATCGAAGGAGGTTAAGCATGCGACGAATTCGCCCCGGCCGAGCGGTTTCAAACATTTATGGATTAACATTTTCATCACGCGACGCGCGCGGTTCGTGAGCGCCGAGCGGAAAAATTTATTTCCACCAGGGGCCAAGACGCGCGGATCGTGTAAATTTTTTATAGGTTAATCGTAAAAGTCTCTGAAGTAGGCAAAATAGATTTATTCGTTTGTTTACGTCGATACGACGGGACATACGGCGGCTCGCGATAGTAAACTTTTACTCAAAACGTATTGTAGAACATTGCGTGAAATACTTAAAAATTTCGTTAGCACTGCTAGTAAGGCACTTTGTTTGAAACTTTGCCAATTGTGTTCGTCTAGTTCTAGCTACTGTAAATTTCAAACATGTCTCGTCTAGCGAATGTTATCTCTACAAATGTTCAAACTCCTTCGTGAACTACTGTATCCTCGAGATGACTGAAGAGAATAAATATTCAGATCGTCTGCGCGTTCTCCCGATACACCTTGAATCATCACCATTCATGGCCCCGGAGAGAGACAGAGAGAGAGAGAGAGAGAGAGAGAGAGAGAGAGAGAAAAACGAGGAAGCCATTAAAAAATTTCAGCATCGATTATGGTGATCGTTCGTTTCGTAAAAATTGCAGAATTAATGGGGAACACCCAGGCGAACGAGTCGATGTTCCAGAGATTTCGCGATTACGCCGCGAACAGTTACAACGTGTTGCCGTCGAGGAAAGAAGTTCATAATTACAACTCGCGGCGGTGAGCCTTTTTTTCCACATTTCACGCGAACGGAGGTCCGCGCTCCGTCAAAGATGAGAGATAATTCATCGATTCGCGTTCCACCGATAATCGATAATCGAATTGTACTTTTTAATCGGGCACACAAAAGTACTTTTAAACGATCGAGCCATTTACGAAGACAAATCTCACTACGGGTACCGACGAAAATTTCGAAAATGCTTCGTGCAACGCGCGAAAATGAAAATTTCGAAAATGGCGCGAGTTCAGATATTCAGGTGCTACAGGGCGAGTCCGCCATGTTAACAATGTTGCACGCTGCAGCTGGATTCGATCGAATGTAGGGTACAGCCGAGTTAACCGCCGCTTAAAACCAGAGAGCTCGGGTATCAACGACATTGTTCGTCGAATAATAACGATAATAGCTCGCTGTAGTTAGCCAAATCTGCGCATGCAAAATACCCGCGACGACGATGCAATATGTAAATGTCGCCGTCTCCCCCGTCGAGTTTTGTGGGGGCAAACGAAATTAACAGGCAGCCCGAAATTCCCGCGGAAGTGACCCCAATAACAATTTCCTAACCAATACATTGCACACGCTCGCACGAGAATTCTGTTTTCCTTACTCTCTTGTTGTTATGGCAAAGCCATAAGCGAGGACAGACTCGCAATCAGAGATTCACGACTCTCTGTCTTTCTCTCCCGCCGACCAGTTGGCGCGCGCGCTCTTGCATGAATTATTTATACTCACGTAGGCAGCTTGTTTACAGCGTGGCCGCGATATTTCGTGGTAGAAAGAAAAAGGAAGCCGTGGAGCTGCGAACGTTTCCGGCAAAAATGCCTGCTTACACGATGCCCGGCCGGTTCTAATTATACAATCACGCAATTTGTACGTTCACGTGCGATTAAGTCGTTAGCTTTTATGGCGGACGCGACAGAAAACTTAAGAGACCCGTCGCCCCCTCCGGGGCCCGCAGGATTTTTAACGGACCGATCTTATTTATTTCACCGTCGTGCTTTAAAATGTATAGAGCCCGGGAACGACCGTGTCCATGACGCGACAACGATTATTATGCTACTTACTGCTAAAGATGGGTCACGTGATTAACAAGTGATTACTAGACCCGACGCCAGGTGGTACACGCTCGCCTGGCTCGTTGGCGCGCGTTCCAACTTCGAAACCTCCCTTCACTCCTGTAGAGGTCAGTTTCCTCGATAGATTTCCGATATCGGTGATTGTGTCGTGCCATTCTTTTTGCGGAAAGTAGACGTCGTGCGTCGTCGGCTGTTTAAAACGCAATCCGTAGCAAGTGACCTGCTCACCTCGGACTCGTCGTATCTGCTGATCTCTCGCTACTTTGGTAAGCTTCTGCTCTCGATTTTGTTTAACCTCACTTCTACGTTGCGATGCGCGCCTCGCTGCTTCCGTTCGATCGAAAATTAATAAACACCGCCGAGTGTCGAATTTGGTAAAGTAAATGATCGATCAGGACAGAGGTTTAATTATCGAAATAATGAGATTTTTAACTCGACTGAAACTGAATATTCGCGAGGATAATGAAACGCTCTGACAATGCTGTCCCTTTGGAATACAGTGTTTCTTGTTTATCGTGTTTGAAGTTTAAAAAAAGTTTAAGTTCTTACGAAGAACAGATTTTTGACTACGACGTGGGATGAAAAGATACAGAGAAAAGTCAGTGTCATATTTTTAAATTAATGTATGTATATATATATATATATATGTATATATATAATTCTTAGTCATGTGGATTTCGGAGGGCGTTTCTGGGAGATAGGGGCGCGGGAGGATCAGGCTGGGTGGGGTGTACAATATACAATGCAAGCCACGGAATATCACGGATTCACGTGTTAGTTTAGAACGTTTCGGTTCTCCTCGAGTTACACATTTTTTTTTGTTTTGTTCATTTATTTTATTGCTTTTCTCTCGACAACGTGTTTTCCTCTCTTTCTCGCTTTCTTTCTTACTTCCTTTCTCTCGCACACTTTCTGAGCACACAGGACCGCACGCAACGCGCTTCGAGAAATAACCGCAATAAAGATAAAGAGGGAAACGAAGGAAAACAAAAACAGGATCGATGATGGTTGAGCAAGATTCTTACAGAACATCGAATGTGGAAAGATCGCAGTTTGTCAGAGGGCCCCGTTACTCGACGGTGCAGCCCTGGCCTGCGCACCAGAGCTGCGCGTTGTAATCGCGCGTTTTCTTCTTTGAGCTTGAATTTCATTCTTCCGCTTCGCGTTCTTTTTTTTTCTTTCTTTTTTCATGCTTTCGTTGAATGACTTTTCCAATTTTTGGAGTCGAGAAAGCATAATTTTTTCTCACAAAATCTCATATTCTCACAGTTGCATTTTTGTTTTGATCGATTAGGATGAGCGTAAAAAATGCTCAATCTCCTCGAAACATTCTTATTAATTTTGTATGATTTTGAATATTTTTTTACAGTTAGATACTGGCATTCTGGCTATTTCAGGCAATGAACGGAAATGAAATTCAAATCACTCGGCTCTAGTAAATTTAACGCTATTAACCCTTTGATCTCGAAAATTTTTCACTCAATTTTCATATAATTTTGTATCTTTTACTGTGGCAATCATTATGGACGTCATGGGAAGAGTATTGGTATAATGCAACTTGTAGATTGACAAATTAAATAAACAGAGGAAAGCAAGAAAAGAAAAAAAAAAAAACAAAAAACGGGAGAAACATTTAACGCATTTATTTAAAATTTTAAATAAGAAAAAATATTTTAAAAATCATTATATATAATGACAGTTTGTAACTGGCAAAGTAGCATTAATTAATTAGTTAATTAATTAAAAAAAAGACGTAGGAACAGAGATATATAGGTATTCACATTTTTTATACAATAAAATATGTCGGAGGTATCATGAGTTGTTCTAGAATAGAATTAAAAAAAAAAACAGAAAAAGGAGAATAACTGCTCGAAAAATAATCCTAGCTACGCTAGGATTCTAGATTCGCTGTAATTCACTATTTTACACAACTGGAACATTGCATGGTGTTACATATCACTAATATTAGCCGACTACTGTTAGCCGCAGTTCGTGAAATTGGAAAACAAATTATATGAAACTAATTACAGAACTTCACATTTTTACACGGTAATAGCAACCAAATTTCGTATCGTATATTACAATCCATCCCGATGCAACATTTTCATAAAGAGAAAGAGAGAGAGAGAAAGAGAAAAAAAGGGGAAAAGAACGAAGGAATAGGAAGGGGGCTCGTTATCAGCATGTAAGAAAGTAACTTTTACACAAATATCGACTCACGAAAACACGACTCCGAGAACACAAATTGCACTCTAATTCGCCGATAAGACATCCACAAGTAGTACCACCCTTCCTACGAATCAAGCAATTCCACCAACTTTCATTCAGTAGAACCGAAATTGGAAAATATTACCGACCAAAGGGTTAACTGCGAAAACGCACGAGATTTTCAGCTTCCAGAAACAATACAAGCTCCGAATTTCCTTTTATTTTTTTTATTTTTTTTTTTGTGATTCTTGGATGCTCTTATTTTCGGGAAGCCAATCCGCTCGGGGCCCTACGACGATTCCCGCGATTAATCTACATCGATCGTCGACATTTATACAAACAGGAGGGACGCGAAGGGGTGAGAAGAACGAGCGGTGTTCCATTTTCGAAGCAACAACATCGAGGAGGGGTGGATGAACGTCTTCCCGAGAGAGATTTTTCGAAGTACCGCTTCGATTCGGCTTCGAAACGTTCGTGACACGAGATCGCGGCGACGGTGGTGCCTTCTATGCAGGCCCCAAATCGAAGAACGACGCTCGATCGTTCGATTTTTTTTTTTCTTTTTTTTCTTTACTTTTAATCACCTGTAAAACACGCGTCGACGCGAGTTTCGCGACCGAATGACGAATCGAATCTTTTTTCTCTTTTATTCGTGGATCGAATCGTTCGTTTGTTGCACGTTTTTCACCATTTTTCTGTTTGTTTGTCTGTTTCTTTTTTTTCTTTTTTTTTTTTTTAATTTCCTTCGAGGGCGTCGAGGCGTGATCGGGCAGCGTGCGTTTATGCGTCGTTTACGTCTCTCTAATAATTAATATAATATTATATTCAATAATTAATACAGAGAGTAGGTATTTATATATAATATCACTAGGGTACATATGTACAGGGGCTCTGCAATTAGTAGGAGGTGCTTTCGTATTGCAATGTCTCCTTCTCGATTACATCTAAAATGCACGTGGGCACAATGCTCTCTTAGCTTTCCATCCTCGTTAATCACCTTCACGACTGTACTACAGTTACTTTCCGAAACACTTCGAGCGTGATTTCTCTTCAAATCCCCCCCCCCCCCCCCCCCCATTATTAATCATTGTAATATTGACGATCATTGAAAGCTTGGAACTTGGGAACATTTTGTACTTCGAGCAAACTTTCGTGCGAACTCAGTGTCCGGATCAATGATTCAATACTAATGGAATCGTGACAACTGGTGACGTTACTGGAACTCGTTTCCAAGCCTTCCAAGACCTTAAAAACCAGAAGAAGACTCCCATTCCCTCCCCCTTCTCAAGACTTTGCCAATCACTCAGATAACTGTCCCCGAAATGTGTCTTTTCACACTCCAAGTGGTTCGAAGAGTTCCTCTTGCGATCGTACGTTAAAAAAACAAAAAAAAAAAAGAAAGAAAAACAATTTTCACGTTCACGTAGCAAGGTCTCAGTCCCGTCCAGTCCCGCGCTCGTCCCACCCTTCCCGTGCCCCGTAAACAAAAATGTACACCAGCAAAACGGTCGCAGAGTCCTGGGAGCAGCGTCTACACGCGCGATTCATCCCGGCCATTTTATGTACACACTCGCAGGGAAACGGCGCCGTGTCCCGGAAGATCGAGCCCGGCGAACACGCGGCCAGTCCTCAGGCTAAAATTGCACTTCGTTATGTCGAGCGTTCCTCGTCCAGGCGCCCGGGGCTCGGTTCGCCGTGGACCATCCCGGATCGGGGCACGGAGGATGTCAGAGACCGACGACCGCCCTCTCCCCTGCTACGACGGCTCGGAGGTTGAATCCGGTTCCCTCTCGTCGCCGGACAGCTCTTCAGGCTCACAGGTTTCGGCCAGCTGCTCGTCGTCGGGGTCGTCGTTCGTGCTGGTCACGGGCTCGTTCTCCTGTCACGGACTCCCTCCGCCAGCATCCGCGTCCCCTCTGTGTCCACCGGGCGTTAGACTAGGGCTGCGCCTCCTCTTCTCCTGCAGGCCGTTCACCATGTTCTCTATGGACTTGAGTTCGCCCGCTGAACTGCTGCCAGATGTCAGACCAGTCGTGGGCGTTGGCGAGCCGGTCGGAGGCCTCGGCGGTGGGGATCTTGGGCTCAGTGTTCTGCTACCAGGGGTGACCGTCTCGAAGGCAGAGCCGTGCGACGGTGCTGGCAAGGTGTACGGCGCGAATCGATGGCCCTTCAGTTGGTGAAGAGGACTGGCAAGTGGGTGAGGATAGTGCGCGAAGAGGGCTGGATGCTGAGACGCGGCCAGAGCCAGTTGCGCGTTGAACAGCATGCCTGGTGTGACTCCACCGTGGATTCCCAAGGGACTGGGTGGTATCAGTGGCCCTGGGCCTGGATAGAGACCAGGTACCGGTGGATAGAGGTACGGTAGCAGGGGCGGATGAAGCGGTGGACCGACTGACACGTCCGGTCGAGGCCCCTCTGAACCCGTTGGACCTGGTGCACCGCCACTCTCTGAGCCAGATGATTCGCTCCCCTCCCCTCTTTCGCTCGTTCGGTCGTCCCTTTCGCGGGAGTGTTCACGCTCGCGCTGATGATGCGCCGGATGGGGTGTATCGGGCCCTACGACGTCCAGGAGCTTGTCTTCGTCGTCCAGGAGGTCGTTGACCGAGTTGGACGAACGACGCTTCTCAGGGGATGCTGGACCACTTGCTGTTAGACGAGAACCGCCTCCTGACACTGTCAATAGCGCCTGCCTTCTGCAACAACGACGCAGAGTTAGCAATCTTTTAGGGCTTGGGATGGGATTTTTTGATTTAGCGGATGGTCTTTGCAGAAGGGAATCATGGAAGGGTAGCTTAATCGAGGATTAACTTAACAGTTCATTGTCAGAAGAACGCAGATTGAAATATTGTGCCTTTTAAGAATAATTCCTTGAGGATTGAACTTTGAAGATTTTAATATTCGCTGGAAATTTATAATTGCAATGAATATTTCGCATATTTTTCCACCGCGAATTAAATAATAATAAATAATTTCCATTAAGTTAAGTACCTCCATGTATTTTAAAATAATTAAAATCCTTTCTACCCTGCGAGGAATATATTTCAAGTATTATTTTACAATTGTTCGGAGCTAACTTGTTGTATGTGAAAAATGCAACAATTATCGGTTCGGTAAATTGGACCCCTTTGAAATTCACCCCTTAATCGACGTAATGTTTCACACCTCTGGCAAATTACAGGCGTTTTAGTCGTCGCGTGTGATCACTGTGGCAACACTCGTGTGGCTGTTACTGGCAAGCGTGCGTCTAAAATGTGTATTGATCGTGTGCGGTATGTGTGACGTGTCATTAGATCGATTATACTGGACCAAGTTTGTGCAATACGCGATTAGGTGTTGATTTCAATAAAGCGCAAAGGTTCAGTTTCGCTTCGTGGATACAATTTTGTAATTAACCGAATCGTAATCAGATGTGTAATTTGATTTCCAGTGAATGTCGTTTCGATTTTTATCCAACGAGAGTATCAAAGTTGATTGGAAAACAGTTTTAATCATAATTTCGTATGTTTAGATTTAGAAATAATTATTACATTGTGTATGTGTGTGTGTGTGTGTGTGTTTTCTTAAATTCTTCGATAGTTTCGATATACCGTGATGGTCGAAGCAATTTATTTTAAAACAATGACACGCTTCAATTTTCGAAGCAATTTCCTTCGAAAACCCTAGCGAATCCAATTTTCAAACCAATTTACCCTAAGAAACTTGACGATTTCGGGTTGAAAACCAATTTGCCCCAAAAACCGCCGTCGTTCGACACTCAAATCGATCTATCTGCACGCCCATTCCAAATCTCAATTACCCGAACGACGTAACTGGAAAATTTCACCCTGGCAGACCTATCTGAAACGAGTCGTCCGAAAAATTTACATAGGGAATCTCGCGCCTGTTATTATTTTCAATGGTGGCTACCAGAGAGTGAAAAATCATTCATGTCATTCACATCTGGAGAGGGCACTTAATTCTTAATTGGTTTTCGTTGATCAGAAATATTTAGAAACACCGTTCATAAACTATTTCCTATTAACGCTCGAAAATTAATTTCAAACCTTACACTTTTACTCAACAGCCGTTTTTCTCAGAAACTCAAAATATTCAGTTTATATCAGCGAAACACTTGGAGTCTACAAAAATCAGGCTAGCAAAGGTCACTCTTTTAAAAAGAAAAAGTTTTAAAGAAATTTTAGAAAACTAAAAAAACTCAGAAGATCCACTTTATATCCCACTGAACTTGTTCAAACTTCGCTCGAAATCGAAAACTTCTCTCTCTAAAAAAAAAAAAAAAAAAAAAAAAAAAAAAAAAATTCAAAAAAAAAAAAAATTTCAAAAAAAAAAAAAATTCAAAAAACAAATTCAAAATTCAAAAAAAAAAAAAAAAAAAAAAAGAAAAGAAACTGTCAAGAACCACTCTTAAATTTCTCACTCTCGCGCGTGTTTGTCCACAGGTCCGTGCGCGGAAGAGCTTGGCCACTTGAAATCGACGTACGCTAGCGCGATAGAGAACGATCAAGATGCAAATCGTATTTTAACGAACACGCCTCGAACGGATAGGTAAGCATCGTGTAAGACTCGGCTAGAGCCGCTCGAAAGCCGGACGTAACGAGAGGCTTACCGATACCCTAATGCCGTGTAATGCGATCAATGCACCGACACAGCCGCGGCAAAACGACAACCAAGCCTAAAACAGAGAGCAACCGTGGCCGATGGACAACGGCGCACGATGGAGAGAAAGAAGGAGGAAACGTTCGCGGGTACGTCGTCGGTGTACTGGATGAATCCATGAGCCGGGAGAGGGTGTTACGCTAGTACGGTTCTCCGGTTTCCGACGCGCTTAAGTGCAAGAACACGTTAAAATCAATAGTTTGCGTGGACGACACGGGATTTGGTAAGTGAGCCTCGTTCATTTATTCCTCTTTCTCCTCCTTGTCCGTGTGTTCTTTAATGACCGAACGATCTGAAGGATTGCTGATCCGAAGGGATGTTTCCCTGTGACTTTGGAAACAGATCCACGGTTTATTTATTTGTTCTTGAAGTCGAAGGTGTGTCTTGAAGCAGAGCGAGATTAAAAGAATGATTTTTCAATGATGGTTAGAGAATTTCGGATGTGTGAAAAATGATCGCATCTGCTTGAAGCGGATGTACAATTGAAAAATAATCAATCTATACTGGTATATCTGGTTTTAGATGGAAAAAAAAAATTTTTTTTCCAGTTTTTGAACGAAGTTTTTGAGAGTGAGATTAAACGAATAATTTGATGGATTTTTGTGATATTTTACTAGAGTTGATAAAAGAACGGAAAATATTCCATTTAGTCCCTGACAATACTGAACATATGTACATCTCTACATTTTAAACCTCCAAACAAGATGACAATTTTTAAATAATTTTCAATAATTTACTAATCATCTGTCAATATATAAATTATTTCAACTATTTTGTCCCTTCTCCGCAATTTCTCACGACTTCATCCAATTTCAAGTTCGAATTTAATAGTCTCGTGTCTTCTATCCTAATCCGAACTTCAGAATAGTAACGGCGACGGATGTGAAATCGCATGATTATCCGCGAAATACGCGTGTCTCTTCGACCGATCTCACTGTTATTCGTACACGCGAGGTAAGTTGAAGCAGGTAATTGGATTCACTAGGTGTGCTTCTGTCGTGCACGCGGCCGTTCCAGTTTCAAACTGGTTCACGCCTCGTACTCGTAATTTTAATGCTCTTATCATTCAAAATATCTTGTATCTCTGCCACCGTAATCTCGACTTACAACTAAAAACAAGACGTAATTAAACTCTCTACAATATCCGCACACCCTATCGTTTAATGAAATATCCACTTCGACATAAACTAAATTTACATTTCTGTTGCTCGAGTGCTCCGATCTTTTGCCAAAAGGTTAGCAAAATCCTTTTGCGTGATAATTTCGCTCCCTCTCAGAATGTTACAACACTTCAATTCAAATAGTACGCACAATAATTCAATTCACAGAATAACTACCAAAAAAAAAAAAAGTGCCACCAGTCTTCCTAATCTAACCACCAAATCCAGTCCACCCTCAACCCTTAAATCGCAATTACGCGAGGGTAACGTTGACTTCGTTAAAGAGGAAAAGAGCGAGTCAAAGGTCCCTCCATAATTTCGCCATAACTACCCAAGTATCGAGTGTCTGTCATCGCCTGATCGAACGTTCAAACAGAATAATGAAAAATCCAGCAACCACCTTCACTCCCTTCCCCCACGGTATGCCTTTGACATTCGGCCTTTGGTGTATCGGTGTCATCCCACCCCAGGCTTCGTGTCATCGTCGAGGATTTATAATCAACCCCTCGATGCTTGCTCGCGCCGGGCCCTCGTTTTTGTGTTCCTACCACCCGTAGCCACCCCCGTGGAACAGCGTCGACTCTCTCGATGCGCACACCCCCGCGCGACTCCCTATGAAATTCTGTCAGGGCTCGATGATTCCCGGCGAACCGTCGTCTTAATGGATCGTTGACGGTGAAACGTCTTTCTGACGCGTTCTTTTTTTTTTTCTTTTTTTCTCTTTTCTCTTTTCTCCTTGCAGAGATATTGTCACGATCACGGGGGGGGGGGAGGGGGGAGGAATGGCAAGAGATCGAGGAGGCCTGCCGTCGATGACGGTCGGATATATCAGGGGGCTGGATCATTATTACTTTCTATCTCTCGAGGGCGCGTTTGATTCGAGTGGCCGTTTCAGCCACGATGATTCTGAATGAACGCTAGATGACGTGTTGAGGAATGTCAGTTCGGGGCTGCTCGTTGTTTCATGACGTTGTTTTTGAGCTTTTGGATTATTTGACTGATTTATATAACGGTAATATATTTCATATTTTATGATATATTTATATTATATTATATTATATATAAATAGTAAGTAAGTAGTAAGTATATTTTATAATATTTTGAATAGTTGCTTGAAAAATGGAATTTCATGGCAAAGGGGCCATCAAACGATTGAAGCTCCTTTTAAAGGATAGTTTAGTTTGTACTTACACAGAAAATATTACCGTGCCACGGTTATTTTTTTCAAAGTCCAACAACCATTATTATCATCACCGAAATCAATTTTTAACAGCATCGTTGACCGATGGTCAAACGGATCAAACGTCCCATGTAATTCACGATCGTTCACAAACAGTTTATAATTCGTGTTGCAAGTGTGCCCCGGATGGCCGCGAGCTCCACGATTCGAGGAATTATGTCGATAACATTATGTCGCGTAAACGCAACAAATGGCGAGGCGTGGCGATTAATAACTGGTGGCCAGCGTGGAAATCTGGCCAACCGGGCAGATTGATTCTTCGCGCGCCACGATACGATCGTTCCGGCGGCTGCCTTGATAAATGACGTGACAACGAGCTACGCCGGCTCCGGTGTTGGCCTCCCTCCCCCTCCCACCCCCTTTTTTTAATCTCCTCCTTCGCTTCGTTCTCTTCCCCCCTCCCTCTCGCTTTCTTTTCTCTTTCTTCCTTTACACGAGAAAAATATTTCTTTTTAACCGGCATGACGAATCGGCCGGCCACGCTCGAGCGCCCCCGTGACTCGTCCGCTTAAAAACTTAATGAAATAACGTGGCCAAACTCGCCGACGCTGGGCACGCGATTACGTGATATCCAGTCCAGTCATTCTGGTTGGTTTCTTTTTTTTCCTTTCGTTTGGAGAAAATTTGATGGTTGAGTCAATTGAGGAGGTCCGAGAAGGAACTCTGATTTGGCTTTTTATCGAGGCACGACGCGACGTTCGGGACTTTGATTCTGAGATGATCGACAGATGTAGAATTTTATTGATCGAGAGAAATCTGCTTGCCTTGTTATTCACTATACTCAATATATTTTATTACGGAGATACATTGGCGTACTATTCGGCTTTAACATATTATTAAAAACCTTCAACATCGGGCGCTTCTATTTTATTGCACGTATGTAACTGATTCTGATTGCTGGATTAAAATTAATGTCTCTCCAAAACACTGCAGTTATTGCTAAACAACTGATAAAGTGCCCTATCTGAGAGAGAGAAAATACAAATACTCGACTTCGTTCACGGTCGATGAAACTTTTTTACCATATCCCGACGAAGAAAGTGGCGCTACGAGGGACGTATCGATACGTCACGAGGGATGCATTTGAAGCGAGAGGCAAAGGAAGAACAGGGTGGAAAAGAAAAAAAAAGTAGAAAAGGGAGAATAACGAAAGAAGGAGGAAGAGACGAAGAAAGAAAAAAAGAAAGAAAAAAAAAAGAAAATGAAAAGAAAAGAAAAAGGCAGGAGGCCTGGTACGCCGGAAGTGGTCCGCCCCACCACAAAACCGGCCTTTATACGCCAGTTACTGGCTGTGGCGGCGATATAAAATTCAAAGCCACCAAGTAGCACCCTCCACGCTAACGACAGCGCCGCCCCTGAGCATCAGTATGCTAATCCGATGATTGGCTATGTTCCAACCCCGTTCGCTTCTCCTTCTCTCTCGCCCTTCTCTGTCTCTTTCCAGCCTAGCGTCACTCCATCTCCTGGTTCTCTGCGGCTTCCTGATGGGATCCGGCCACCCTTAACCGAAACCATAAGCCAAAACTAACCCTTATTCTAATTAGGCGGCGCCACGACGCGCCCTCTGCTTTGCATATTTTCTCGATTAACCTCGCCCTTTCTTTATCCGGCCGGTGCGTCGGGCGTCGCTTCAATTTCCGCGGAATTTCCTCCGGCTCTCCCTCCCCCCGCCTGGTTTTTCCCATCGTCGAACCCACCCCTCGCCACCCTCCCGGGCATTTATCTAAGGAACCGTTGAAACCACCGGCCGCCTCCGAGTGAATTTTACGCCCCGCGCTCCGTGAAATAAACCGAAATTCGACGGCTTTAGAGTAATTGTTTCTCTCATCGTTTTTGGAACGTCTGTTGCTTTATCGGGTATTAGATTATTTTTGAGAAGGGTAATTTATATTCCGAAGAACAGATGAGAGACGGTGGAATATTAATTTATTATGTATAACCATAGTCTGATTCTGCGGGACTTCTATATATCTACGACAGGAAGAGAGAAATATCGAAGGATTTTTTAAAAATATCATTCCTCATTTTTGACTCGAATTAAAAAACAGCGTTCAACACTTTCAAATCTCCACCAACACAGCAATGACTCCTAATCCCCTAGCAATTCAAACTCCGAAATAATTAAAACGAGAAACACGTTGATCCATCTCTCGCCAAAAGTTGCCCCAAAACTCACCCCCAGTCGCCCCTAAAAACCGAACCTCGAGATTCGTTAAACCATCCGGAACCGGATCACTGGCATCACGGTGAACTTCAACCCCTTCCTCGACGTCTTGCGTTTGAAAGACCCGAAACTACATTATGGAACTGCATACGACAAATTGGCGAAGCTTTGACTCGCGGCGGGCAAGGATTAGCAAGGATAACGATGCCGGCACACGAGGCTTATACGCATAGAGGCGACTTAACGTCGTCAGGATCCAGTCAAGGGCCGGCGGGCAGGCAATCCCCCCTCCGTGAATGAAATTGAAACGAGGCCCCGTGTACGCTCTGAGACCCTCCGAGCAGCTTTGTGTAAGCTGGTAAAGCCGCGATATTGAATACAAATGGACGATACCGGGGTGCAAATGAGCCTCGGCGGACGGCAAACCCTGGTCCTGGGGGCTGACCCCGAGCCCTGATCCGTTCAACTTAATAGCGAGGATCGAGGGGAGAGCGCGAAAAGCTCGACGATCAATTAGGTCCATCTAGAAGACAGACTACGGAATTGCTTTTTGTTCGTTCGGGGCTACGATCCGAGGAAAGGGGGTGGATTGCGCGTTCACTGTGTTCGGGATGGTACGACACGGCTGCTATCTAGGGGATGTTTTTTTTTATAGTTCTGGAAAACTAGAATTTTTAATCTTCTCCGTGGATAGAAGTCGGAGAAAATGTTGACTGAAAGTAATTTTGGAAGGCACATAGAAAATTTAAAATTAAATGCTTTCTTTGTAGATTAGAGATTATGGAGATATATATAAATATTATATAAATAATATAAATATATATAAATAAATATAAATATATATAAATAAATATTATATTATAAATAAATATAAATATTATATTATATATAAATATAAATAATTATATATAAATAATAATATATAAATATTTATATATTTTATAAGTTTTATAGTGTGTATATTTTCTAGGCTCTTTTTACATAACTGTAGAACTCTTAGTTTACTTAATAACTTAATTTACTTAGTTATTTACTTAATAACTTAATTTAAGTTACTCAGAATAAATTTTGACACGGAGAATTGAAACTGAATTAAAGACTCATTTTGCAATCGTCCCATAATTCTAGATTCAAATTACCGAATGATTTAGGATAAAATGATGTATGACTGGCTGATTGAAACTGAAGGTGATCGTTCTTCTGACAATGATGACTACTTCTCATTACTTAATTTGTCCTTCATGCTTCGCGATGAAGTTTTGAAAGCGATACTCACTTTTTCTCGCGCTTCCCCGCCCCCGTGTCCCGAAATCCTTTCGCGAACGGGTTGTTGTCGATCTTCAGCTGGGTGATCTGCAACAAAAGGAGATTACGATGTATATACGAGCCCGCGTCATTTCATCGTTAATGAGATATCGACATTTGCGAATAATGCAAAACTGGGGAATAATTAATTGAATACGCTGTCAGTGTCAGACAAAGGCCTCATTAACAAACATCCCGCGAGAAGATCATTTCCACCGCGTTGTACTACACGTCCCTATGTTGTTTAAAACTCTTCGCTTAAACAAATGCAAGTGTGAAATAAATTTGAAAATCTGCAAAACTATCTTTACATCTCGAATAAGTCTACATTTTTATTCGTATGATGAATAAATTCCAAAACGTAGAAGAAAAATCTATATTCTATCAAAAGATTATTGTCTCTTCTGTTTCTATAATAAATTAGTCAGTAATTATAATAAATTAGACGTACTTTCACTCCCTTTGTCTCAATATTATTCACCACCGGCTTAATTCGAAAGTTAATCGTACAAAAAAAAAAAAGTGAGCTATCAAAGAAGGATATTGTCCATTATCTTTCTCATTTCAATATTAAGTGTGTTCCACAACTTATAAATATAATCTTTCCCCTTTACTTCAATGTTTTTTTCTCGTTCGTCTTTTAGTCTCTTTCGTAATAAAAAAAAATTCTAAAATTTCAAAAAAATATCTCCACTCCATCGTTTATATGATATTTACGTTGTACTCTTAAAGTATATATTCCAAAATCTGGAAGGAGACATATCTCAACGTTGTCACACGCAACCCTCCGTTATCTCCAATAATTACTGACAAACTACATCGTGACCCCCATTTCAACACCCATTATTTCGTCTTTGCTTCGCCGTAACGTAATCTCAGAATTCGTTTTCAATAATCAAATCTCGCAACGATTGGCTCTTCGTCAAGTTACGGAGAATCGACGATCCCACGAAACAACTGACCGAGAGAGATCAAGGAGCCTTCTCGGCTTCGAGAAATTCAGAAGAGCCGGGTGTAGACTCGAAAAGATGCACAGAAGCGATATCTGTCTTCCGGCAACGCCAGATACCGGGAAACACGGGCGATAACGAGCGAGGAAAGAATCGCGCGACGAAAACCACGGACAACGGGCCCCTTTTGCGTTCGCGCGAGTGCCCCGCCACGAGAATAACGCGTACCAGGAAGCAACGCAGCTTCCGGGAACCCTCTCGCCAATGGCCATTTTAATTAACCGGATCGGGCACGAAAAAATTGTCCATCGATCCAGATTTCTGCTCTCGAATCTTTAACTCTTCTAAAATTTGAAACTTTTCATTTTTCTAACATTATCACTACGTATTTTTTTAACTTTAATGAAATTTGAAACTTTTCATTTCTCTAACATTATCACTACGTATTTTTTTAACTTTTCTGAAATTTGGAACTTTTCATTTTTCTAACATTATCACTACGTATTTTTTTAACTTTTCTGAAATTTCAAACTTTTAATTTCTCTAACATTATCACTACGTATTTTTTTAACTTTAATGAAATTTGAAACTTTTCACTTTTCTAACATTATCACTAAGTATTTTTTAACTTTAATGAAATTTGAAACAACTTTTCACTTTTCTAACATTATCACTACGTATTTTTTTAACTTTTCTAAAATTTGAAACTTTTCATTCCTCTAACATTATCACTACGTATTTTTTTAACTTTTCTGAAATTTCAAATTTTTAATTTTTCTAACATTATCACTACGTATTTTTTTAACTTTTCTGAAATTTGAAACTTTTCACTTTTCTAACATTATCACTACGTATTTTTTTAACTTTAACGAAATTTGAAACTTTTCATTTCTCTAACATTATCACTACGTATTTTTTTAACTTTTCTAAAATTTGAAACTTTTCATTTTTCTAACATTATCTTCAGAACTTTTCAGTTTTCTAACATTACTACTACGTATTTTTCAACTTTTCTAAAATTTGGAACCTTTAATTTTTCTAATACTCCTGAAGGTTCTTTCTTTGATATTTCTTTTGGAAATTCGAGTTTTTAATTCTTAATTTCAATTCTTCCTTTTTAGGAAATACTTTCTAATGTTTGGAAAATCTTTTATTTTTAAAGTATTTACGAATTTTTCTAGTATTAATTTTTTCAAGTCTTTTATTCTTAACCGTTAATAAAATTCATATGATAATTCTTATAAAAATTTTTCTGCCATCTTAAAAATTATTTTAAATATTTTTAAAAATTTTTCTGCCATCTTAAAAATTATCTTAAATATTTTTCAAACATTTTCTATTGTATTTTGTACCGTTATACCATCGTGTTCATTAGCAAAAAAACAAAAAGTCTATAAAAATTTATAATTTACTACGTGAAAAATGGTTTTAGTTTCCAAGTAATCCGATTGCAAATTGATAAAGACGGGAAAGCGCGAAGTAATTTGTAATTTGAAATATTCTTCCGAAGTGTTGCCATCGAATTCGATGGTTAATTCTTCGCTTTGTTTTTCGCCATAATTTTCGCGAACAAACGACGGGGAAGCTTGTTAATTAAACCATCGGGGTCGGGTTACAAGCCATCCGTTAATTACAACATTTTTTTTAATTAATTTAATTAATTCGATACCCGGCTCTACCGGTTCATTTCGATTCGGTTCGGTTCGGTTCTAAACTTCGATAATCAATATGCAAGTGTAATGGCCCGATAATAAATTTCCAATGAAGAAACAGATAACGTTTTTACACTCCATCACTTTTGCGCGAACGAATAACGGGAACTAGGAATTAATTAACACGTTAATCAACTGTTCCCCACATCCCTCGAGTCGTCTTTCGATCTTTTTTCGAGACGAAAGACTGCAAAATTATTTTTTTAACGAAAAGTATTTGTACAGTTGTTGATGATTCAAATAAGCAGGAAAAATATGATAAGTATATTTCAGTTTGTAGAAAAAAAGAAAGAATGCCCGAGTATTAAAATAGCTAAAGGTAGAAAGAAGTTAAACTGTTTCAAAAATTAAGTTAGGATTGCTCGAGACTGAATTTTAATTTCCAATTATGCTGGCGGCTAATTTTGAAGGAACTAAAATTAAAACTGAAGCCTAACTCTTAGCTCGCAGTTAGCTAAAACTTAAAGCTTCGTCCTAAAAAGATCAAAAGAGACTAAATTTTAAAACCTAGAAACACGTACTCCCGCCTAACTTCTAATCACGAATTAATACGCAGGCGATATTAGACAAGAAACTTGGGGGAAAAACCAAAAACGCTTTCGACGCGATATTTCCTCAACTCGCACATTCACGTTTCATCCTCTCAGTTTCTCAGCGAGAGAGATGCTCCCGCTGAAATCGATCCCGTATCCATAGGAGCGGAATTAAATAAAAAAAAAAGAAAAACGAAAGGAAAGAGAGAAAAAAAAAATTCCCTATGAACCCGGCGAAAGTCCGCAGACGACGATTTCCACTTAGAAACTTTCCCACGGAGCGGAGACGAGCCGGGAGAAGAGACCTGAAATCGAACAAAACCGCCGTCTCGACAAAAGGCCACGGTCGATCACAGAGTTCTCCGAAGCCAGCCCAGACTAACGAGTTTTCCCCTAGCGCGTACGCGGAGGACTCCCGCAGGGGTGTCCCGGAAATAGGAAGCAGACGTTCACTCACCTTCTCGTTCTGATAGGCGGTCACCGCGATAAATTCCGTCTCCTTGAAAACGTAACTCCTGAACGTGGAATAGGGAAGCTTCAAGATGTCGTTGGCCCGCACCAGGTGAAACCTCGGCTGGTACTTGTGCATCGAGTTCAATATCGTCTGAAACAACCAATGGACCGTACATTGGGACAGACTGTTTCAGCCCTGAGCTCGTGCTCGCAATCGTGCCTCTCCCCCTCTCCCTCGCTCGAGTGTGCTCTTTTCAGAGAAATCGACTGCCGCGAGTGAACACACCCGTCTCGCGTACGAGGCCCTCACTTCGTGAAAGAGACGTTCCGTAGGTTATGTCTCTCTATAGAGGTTGGCGACACTGCTCGAGGCAGAGCCTCAACGGTTGGAATTGGAACGAGCAGCTTCGCTTTCGGGGATTTACGGCGTTAAATGAGTGTCTGGTATCGCGCGATATCGTTCGAGAGGATTTTTTTTGGAAATGGTAATTTTTTTTACTAAATACGAGAATCGATGAAGTGTGACGCGAACAGTGGTTCCATACTCGTTGGGATTTCTTAACAGAAAGTCTTTTTACTTGACACGACGAGAATTACACGTTGCATTATGTTGTATTTGAATGTACAAGACACGAGAGACAGTTTCATTTGCGTTGCAAAGTTTCTCTGATGTCAAGGAGGGTTATTTGTTCTCCATTGGATACAGAATAAGGCGAAACAAGAGATGGATCGCGTAGGTTTGACTCGTATTTCAAAAAGGGAATTTTAATTGCTAATCTCACGAATTTGAACTATTTAAATATTCTGATTTGCGCTATAGAAGAGAGAAAAATTTGAAAATTTCTATTATCGATTTTTAACGCAACAGCACATGTTTAAATAATAAAATCATTCGCGTTCCACTCGAAATTTTAGCCAGCGCCGATTGATTTCGCTATCAATTTGCACTGACGTCGGCCCACGACGAAATATAAAAATATCGACAATCTGCAAATCTAAAAGTATCGACAATCTACAAAATTCGCTGAAATCGACGTACGTGTCTGCAAATTCTACGTGAATCGAACTTTCTATCGTTTGCCTCAGACGGATGTATTCCATTCGCCGATGTATCGTCCACGTGATGGGCCGTGACAAACAAGCTAGTCTCGTTGCAGCGTGAAGAGAGGAGAAACCAGAAAACGAGAAAGAGAAGAAGCAGGACAGAAGAGACACGAATTCTAGTCAGAGTTTATTTCATGCTCGTGGGCATTCCGAAAGCGCGGTTCTCACACAGAGGCCGAGACGATTATTTCGCAAAGCGGCATAATCTCGCTTGCTCAGGTTGCATCATGCACCACCGCCGATCGGCCATCGGGCTCGGCATAAACTCGTTCTAAAGCTCGTCTTTCTTTCGTTCGTAAAAGAAAAAAAAAAAAAAAAAAAAACCAACGTCTGCCCGACGATGACGATCACCTAATGTCCTCTGCCAATCGTGGCATCATCGCGATTTCTCAATTTCGACCGGCGATTTACAGTCGTTGTTCTCAATTTCAATCTGCCGCGTTTGAAGTTGATCGAGAACGATCGCTTGCGCGTCCCTCGTCCGTTTCAAAACGCGGGATGGAGAAACAAAGTGCGAGAAGAAGAAACGAAAATTTCGCTGACGATTCTCCTACGCGCTTTTTGTAACACTGAGATATAATTTGTGAAATTGACTCTAAATTTTTTACAAGCTTCACCATGGGAACAGTTTTGTTGGTATAATATTATAACGTATTCTTTGCCTCGATGGTTCAGACTGACAGCAGTAGGAAAAAACTGAATATTTCTAAGTTTTCCTTTTCTTTATTTCACGAAGGCTACTCAGTGCAAATGTTGGAAATATTTCTCACCGTATTTAATCGCATGATCGATCTGAGGTTTCTCGGATTCGGTCTAGAGACGTGATTCCATTGATTCTTATGATACAGTTCTTGTTGTGATATAACATTCGCAGTGACTGATACGATGAATCTGTTATTAAAGCAAATAAAAAAAAGACTCTATCGAGTAAAGAATTTAAGTTAACTCTTTAATTATAAAAAATCGAAACGATAACCAATCTGAAGAATCTCTAAAAAACTAACTATAATTTCGTAACTCAATCAGACACAGTCCTCCTGTGACAAAACATTTGTAAGAATTGCATGAAACGTGATGAATATTTTACTAGAAAAGTGTATTTATCGATTTCAAAGAGTTGTCCAATCATTTTCCAAATTTTCCTCCGACTGATCTGACAACAAGTCTAATGACTAATTCGCAGGATTTCGAATTTCTCAAACGATCGTACGAATTTACTAAAAAATTCATTACCAATTTAACATTTGCAAAAAATTGTTAAAAAAAATTGTCGAGAGACTGTTCGCCAATCAAATCGAACGAAATAACCAGTAAGGGTCCTAGGTTTCACGGAACCATTCACGCAATGGAAAGGGAAGCGTGGCGAAGCCTGTTTTTCGAAAGAAACGTCCGCGCAATCCGAGCCTTTCTTTCGTCCTTTCTTTTTTAAATGGCGAAACGTTTTAAGAGCGATTCGCGGCAAAATAAAACGACCAGGTTCGCTTTTAGCCGTGTCTGGGGTTGTTGCACACTCGCGTGCGCGCGCGCGAGCGCCGACGACGATGCAAATGGCGCGGTAGCAGCTAACAAGATTGCACAGGACATTCCATCGTGGAATGGACGCAACTTCGTTGGCGTCTCGATAAATCTACGTTCCATCCTGGAATCGCGGTAATTACGCCGCGGAATTTTCGTAATGGAGAACAGGCCAGTCACTATTTTACAAGAAGATGACCACGGCGAACCATCCTCCACTTCTGACGAATGAACGATCGATATTACAGTTCTGGTTTATTTCTTTTTTAAAATTCTTCCTCTTCCCAGGAACGTTAAAGACGATAACGTTCAACATTCTCGTTTACTCGCTTTGATTAGTAACAAAGAATCGAGTAACGACTGCTCAAAACTACTTTTTTTAAAAATTTGTTTTTTATTTATCATTTGAATTTTATAAATTAAATCTTTATAAACCTTTCCTCCTTTTACCTTCTAAAATGTGTATTCAGTATTTTGTAAACAATGATGAAAGATAGGTTTCTGAACAGGATTGAATAGAATTTCTAAATTTTTGTTATTTCCATTGATACGATAGATGTTGTAGATCGGGGTTAATTAGTTTGAATTCAGTATGAAGAATCGAACAACGAAGGCGTGCCTAAGAGACAGAACGATTGGCGAGATATTATGCTAATACAACGAGGGAACTTGGGCATCGATGTTCTTTATCGTTCTGTCGAATCGAATTTACTGTTAAATACACTCTTATTCAATCGCCGTATCTGATGGACGAGTACTCGATGCAAGAATTATATAAATCCAATTATAGGGGTCTCACGAAATAATGGCTAATCGACGTCATCGATTCGATTCAAAGTTCGCGTCCGGCGATAACAGAATTCTCATCGAGCTATTACAATTCAGCCTCCCATCACGTTAGCATACGTATGTGTTTATTCCAGCCGCGTTATCTCACAATTATTCAGATTCGATTTTAAGAAAAAAAAAAAAAACTCCCATAATTTACGCAGAGGATATGTAGATTTGTCATCTAATCCGACTGCTCTTTGATTAAAATCCGTGTACCACACTTTACTTAATAATCATATTCACACGTGTCATCCATTGTATTTGAACAGTATTCCCAAGTTGTAATTCATAAAAATTAACCAAGAATTGTGCTAAAAAGAGAGCCAAAGAAAGAAAAGAAAGCTAATTCAATCACAACCAATCCTTGAATCCATATGTATTATATTTTGACCACTTTTATCAATAATCATATTTACTCACGTCACACATTGCACTTGAACATCTTCTCTAAGTGACAATTTACAAAACTACTTGTTCAGAACAAAATCAGACGCTCGACTGATTGCAACCACCTTTGTCTTCCTTCTCGAGAAGAGGCTAATCTAATCGACAATAGAACGCTCAATCCATCTTGCCAAACAAAGGACGATGCGTGAGATTTCAGCAAAGTTCCACGAAAACGCAAGGAAAGGGGGGGAGGGAGGGAGGGAGAGTCGATAACGACTCGAGTGAAAGAAAAAAAGAGAATGGATCTTCTCTGGAACGACGGAATGACGTGGAGGAGAAGGAGGAGAATGAGTCCGGCAATAAATAAAAGGGCGCGCGTGGAAATCGCGATCACGCGAAAGAGAGAAGGCTGCGAGCAGTCCGCCATTATGCGCGGCTCCTCACAAAGGGGAAATAATTAGCGCTGCTCGGCCGATAAGCCGGCCAATCTAGGCGTTTGTCATTAGCCTATCAACGACCGAATGCCAGCGATCTTTCTTGCTCTTTTACTGCTATCCGCCTGGACTCGGTTCCGAGTCGCGGAGCCCTCCCAACCTCCTATCTTCGTTCCTTCTGCTGGACCCTCGGCCTCGACACGCCTCTGGCGCCGTGGAAAATATGTGCGAACGTAGATCGTTGCAATTAGTACCTCTCCTCCGGGGCTAATCGCGCGTTCTTCCCCGCTTGAATTCGTGCCACGCAGATTACGCCCCCTCTTCTCTTCTCTTCTCTTCTCTTCTTTCCCGAGTTCGCAATCACCGAGGACTTTAAACTTTCGGAGGAGATTCGGTTTTCCTTTCTCTCGAGTTTCACTGATTCTCAGCCTCTGAGCCTCTGATGGTGACTCGAACGAGGTTGAAGCCAGCGACGATTTCTTTCTTTGAAACGTTGGCGTTCAAGCTTGACGCTGCCGGAGCTGTCAATTTTAGATTCATTCTTTTGCGAGGGTTTAAAATGTGAAAACTTTGGAATCGAGCTACGGCCTCTGCTCCAACATTCAAAAATCCGAACTCTACGGACTTCAAGTTATAAAGTTGAAAGTTGAGCGGAGAGTCTGCCAGTATCAAAATCATCTGCCGATATATTTCCAGCTCAAATAGCAGTCTGTGCAAAATACACTCAAATGACGTGTGTATGTGTGCAAAATCCGTCCGCGCGAAAGATGGTTAACCTTCGGGCGAACGATTCTGCCGAGGAGTAGCAAAAATGGTCGAACGGCCAGAGGAATGGAACTCGAAAAGAGCGGAACGAAATGAAACGAAGAGAGAGAGAGAGAGAGTGGCTGCTCTTGCATGCATACATACATACATACATACATACATACGTACATACACGTCGTGCCGCGTGAATTGACCGGCCAGATAAAGGGTTGGGAGAGGCGGACACCGGAGGCAGAAAAGGGGGAGGCCGAGGAAAGTGAGAGAATATCCCGGGCCGACACAGAAGCCGACGCTGCTAATGACTCTGTCCGCGGTAATCTCCGGGTGTTATCTGTCCTGGCTACCTGGGGCCCACCTACTTCGAATCACGAACCTGCACACGCTTCCACCTCGTTTCCTGCCGATCAGCCGCCGGTTCCAAGCCGCGCTCTCGTCTCCTTCTCCGCTTCGAACCACTTCGCTCGGCGAAACGTCGCCGCTGGTAGCTCTTTAACCACGCTGATTATTTTCTTTTTCTTCTTCTTCTTCTTCTTCTTCTTCTTTGTCGAGATGAGTGTCGCGAAATTGTAAGGACGGAGAGTCACGCGTATTTGTTCAAATTCGTAGAAACTGACACGCAGAGAGCAGAAGAAAGGATTTTTGGTTGTTTCAAACGTTTGGAGACGTGAGAAACTATAGACTGGCTTCGCAATGAACATAATTTGCGTACACTTGAAACAGCAGAACTATTTATTTATTATTGGAAACAAAATGCTAATTTCGAAACTCGCCACCTTCCAAGTGTTCTATATTCTCATCTCAATTGTTGTCAAAAACGTTTGACAACGTAACGAGAGTTCCTCCCCGTCGACTTCACCGCACGAAAACGACGCTCCTCGAATGAGAGAAGCGTCGCGCGAAGTAACTCGCCGCCGAGAGGTTGAATTAAAAAAACACCACGCACTCGAATCGAAGAAGTATATATCCGCCAATATCAAACACTCGATCCTCCGCTAATCCACCATTCGAAATATCGCAAGACTTCCACGAGCTTGCTACTCAGCTCGCTAAGCCAACAAGAAGGAGTACCAGTCCGCTACGAGAGGAAATTCCAACGCTACGGCGGACACGCGTAGCCCAGCGAGGTCCTGGCCGCGCGTTGTTTGGCCAACCGATCTTACAGAAGGGCAAACAAGTCTCTCTGAACACCGAAAGGGTTTACCGGCTGTGGAGGCTCCACGTCATCGACGGTTCCTTCCCGCGCGGAAAGTCGCGCGGCGAGAGAAGCGGACAAACGTTGGAGACAAAGAGCTACCCTTCAAACCCCCCCTCTCTCTCACTCTCTCACACTCTCTCTCTCTGTCTATCTTTCTGTTTCTTTCTTGCCGCGGCTCGAGGCGGCCCTTTTCACTTTGAGGGTTAAGAAGTTAGCTGATGGTTCGAGGATTACTTAGACTCCGTACATAAGGCAACTGTGCGCAGTTAGTTTGCGGTGCACACAGTGCCTCTGAAACGACCGGAGAAGAGAGGTTCCTTCGTCTTTTTTTTTTTTCTCCTCCTACCGCCGAGGCTTTCCCAGCGACCTTTCTTCTTCCGCTGAACTCGCACTCGCGGAGACGCTTCTCACGACGGTGCGGCCTATTCTCTTCTTTTTTTCTTTCTGCAACTCTGTCGTGGAAAATTCGGGAACCTTTCGTGGTTTTTAGAAGATTGCACGTGTTTTTTTTTTGGGTGGGGGGGGGGTAGGTTTGGGTTAGATTAGACTGGAATTTTTGGACAATTCGAATTCTCAGGTACAAGAGTGCAAAACTATCTAGCGTACTCTGGAACATTCACTAGACTAAAACTGTCGTAGGAAGGAAGAAAATTGAAAATTCTGGAGGAAACAAAGAAAATAGACTAAACTTGGTAACTGAAACGTTACAGTGCAAATTATTTTGCACGTGAAACAAAAAGAGACATTAATGTAATTTTCTTTTTTTCACAAACCTCATCTCATAGACTATAATTCACAAAACTGACAAATCTATAATGTTTTAAACGTCTCTGTTATTCTTTATTATCTGTATTATCTATATTATTAAATAATTAGGCAGAGGACTAATTGACAATATTGAATATATTTACAAAAGCATGTCTCATTACGCCCGTGTTCTCTTAACACTGTTAATCTTATTAAATAATTAGATAGGGGACTAATTAACAATATCGAATATATTTACAAAAGCACGTCTCATTATACTCGCGTTCTCTCTTAACTTCTGTGACTACATTGAGCTAGGTTGGCTCCTAAAATATTCTACAAAAACAATCTCTACTCTATAATAGTAAAAGTTCTGTAATATATTCTAGTACATCTCTATAATCTATTCTAGCAATCTTAGTAGTTCGAGTAAAAGTAATTAAACAAAGTACACAGATGTCGCGTGACATCTAATTTAGCATAGTTCGTTCAGCTACTGTTTCCTACACGCATCGATACATTTTTACAATCACCGAGTCCAAACCCTCGCGAACTCGCGTCTCGAAGATCATTCGCACGTCCAGAAACATCTAGCAATTAACTCTCGCCATCTGCAACGAGGAAGAAATTTCGCCATCGCAGAAGAAGAAGAAGAAGAAGAAGAAGACAACGACGACGACGCAGAAAAAGGAAAAACGAACGAACGAAGCTGAAAGAAAGAGGTATCAGTCGATGGAGGAAGGGGTGGAAAAGACGTTAAACCGCACGCGTGATGACGAACGCGGCGGAGGAGAAGGGGTTGGTGGACGAAAGGGTGGCGAGGGAGAAGCAGTGGCGCCACCTCGGCAGGAAGCGGCAGAGGAGCGACGGCAAGGCGTGTGCAAAGGGTCCTCCGCGTGTCGGCGGTGCGAGAAAGAAAAGGCGAGAGGTTAGCCGCGGCCAAGGGGGATGGAACGCGGAAGAGGAGAAGGAAGAGGAGGTGGTCGTCCTGGTATCGACCGGCTGAAAAAGGGGTGGATTTTTCTACCCCTGGGCGGAGGACCAGCGTCAGGGGGACGTGTTCTGGACTCGATTACGACTAGCCCACCTCTGATCTCAAGGCAAGCCACCAGGAAACCCCTCTTCCACCCATACACTTTCACCCTGCTTGAACGCTGTTTCTTCAAGATCGTTCGCGGAACGTTGTTCCTTTTGACTCGTCTTTTTTCTTCTTCTTTTTTTTTTTTTGCTGTTGTTTTTCGTTTATTTGGACTAGCTTTTTTGGAGGGTTGTTTCTTAGCTTTGCGACATTTATTCCTAATTTTTGGAGTGTGGAAATCTCTCCCCCCCCCCCCTTTCCTTTTCTTTAGCTCCCAAGTTTTCAGAACTTTGGGGCTGCTCGAACTACGAGGAGGATTAAAGACGAAAGTTTCTTGAAAATTGAAAGTTGTTTCTTAAAAGACGGGAAAGACGCTTTCTCGATTTTACTTCATCTTTTCATTTCGGCTTGATTCAGTCTTCGAAATGTTTTCCCCCGCGGTTGTTTTCGAAGTTATCGTGAAATGCCAAGGGATGAAATTCGTTCGTTTCCTCGACTTCGTTTCGACAAACAATCAATTGTTTTGCATTGTTTCGTTCTCTCGTAACGAATATTGACAATGCGTGCTGAAACGAATTTTGAAACGTTGAATCAAACTCATTTACTCAAACGTAACTCGACTGGTCATTTAACAAGACGCTATGCTACTTCATTAAACAGGAAACCAACCAAATTTTCTCTCAACTGAAACTCGTCACTCCGTCGAACTCCTCGAAATACATAACGTATTGCATGAATCTCTCGGAGCCACACTGTGTCGTTGTCCAATAAACTAACGTAACCCAAAACACCATCGCGAGCAAACCGTGACCCCTTTCTCTCTCTCTCAACAGAAGCAGAAGAATAACTGTTCAGTTGTTCAGTTCGGAGGATCAATCTAAACGGTTTCTATAGCGAAAATCACTGGTGCCATTCTGTCCCAAGCGTTCATCTGAATGGAAACTGGCGCGAGTTAATCGGCTTGGGCGAGCTTCGACACCGGCTCGGTTCCCCAGAATCCAATTAATCCCCCGGATCGGATCTAAGTTCGGCGAAGTGGCGCGTGGGAGTGTGTCCACGTTCCTTTTCCTCGAACGAATTACGCGCGTCGTTCCTCACTCGGATCGAATAAACTCGCGAATGGACGATGAGGATTCGAAATAGTACTGAATATTGAGTAGTGAGGACTGAGAAATAGTACGCTACAATATTTATACTTTAGCTAGTCGATAAGTATAAACTGTAAGCTCGAGGGTGAATTTAGAATATTCACGTTTACACTGAATTTTGAGATTGATTACCAGTCAGGATGAAAAATCGTCGGTACTTTAAACTGTGAAGAAAGAAATTATATGAACTTGGTCTCGTTGTCAGTTTAACGCTTATCAAAATGGCCACAATGATCAGTGATTCATAATTTTAGACAGATGTGAAACAATGCATTTCTCATAGATATGAATGATTTTTCGTAAAATGGTTAAAAGGCGCATTGTGTCGTAAGGTCTTTCTGTCTTTAATATCTCTGGATGAAAGTTGTTGGTAGTTTTAGTGTTCATGTGTGAAACCTGTACTTTAACAGTCCTAGATTCTTTTCAGAGGTGGTAAAGTAAGAACGATTTTTGAAAATCGTACATACAAATTCAAATGTCCCCAGAAACACTGAAAAATCCTTTTCGTCACTAACATTTACCACGATCTTTAAGACTCTGAAATCTCCCCTTTTTGAAAATCAGGGTTAAACGACGAAACATTAGAATTCGGACTGAAGTGAATAAATTTCTACAAACTGATACATATTGGGCCAAGACTCGTCCTCGATCTTGAAGATCTCCCCTTAAAATTTGCCCCAAATTTCACTGAACTTCAAAACCTCGGATTCGTTTTTGCAACTAATGCACATCGTTGCCGAATCCTCGTCGTCTTGACGTTTCCTCTCGCTCCGGCGTGTGCGTGTGTGCGAAGAATCCCGCGAGAATTGCCGAAGAGGGAAAAGAAAAATGGATCCTCGGAGGCTTTCGCCGGCACTTTGCTCGGCCGGAAGCTAATTGGCCCGAATCGAGGGTGGCTTTTCCATCATCCGGTTCCACGGCATTATGGCCGACTCGCACGTGAGCCTGGCCCTCGACCAATGGGAACGCGAGTCGATGCACTCGAACAACGGGACTCGACCGCTTCCCGACGATGTTCCTCGCCTTTCTTCCTTCCTTGTTTCCTTCCTTTCGCCCTGATTCTGCCCGATTCGACGCGATAAAACCACCCTCCCCACCCTCCCGCCCCGATGCTGAACTCGATAAACGTGTCTGGTTATCGCGAGGCAGGCCGCCTTCAAGATTTTCTAATCTTCTTTGGGCGAGCCTCGACCGCGCCGTTTCGCTAATAAGCGGCTTGAACATTGCACGAATTAGGCAATCGCCTAATGTTTCTGCAGTTGGGAACGCTGGATTTTCGAGGCTTTGGAATTTACTCGTCAAGATTGTTTAATTATTATATGAAGTCATATTTAATAAAATCAAATCTTGGGTAGAAAATTGTTTCGCCTATCGAGTATCAAAGCATTGTACTATCTTTTTTTTTTTCCATTTTGTATGTTTCATTCTGTATCTTTAAATTTGAGCTTGAATTTTTAACAATATTCGATATTTAACATTATTCCTAATCAAAAGGATCGTTATCCCCAAGGGTTGGTTACAAAGAGATGATGGATCAATTAAAAAAAATTTCTCAACGCCTTCAGAGACTTCGTTTAAACTCTTTCAAACTCCCGAGAAGAGAAATCTGAAGGAGACGAATTGCTCGATAAGACAGAATACGTTCGAGGCGAAAAATGCACAGCGATTTCGGTCGTTGTTTCTCGTCGGTCAGAAGTGATCTATCCGGTTAATCGTAAATTGTCAAGACTGCTTGGTGTCGAGTCAACGGGCCACGGACAGCACCTATTTACTTTCATTCAACGATCAAAGAACCGCGTTGGACCGATAATTCTTATCTGGCCAGTGGACAGTGGGCCTATTCAGTCTCTCGAGTCCGCGTGAATCACTTTGCAATTCCATTCTCGAAATGAAGAGCCCGTAGTGTCATACGCCGACCAGTCAGAAATTAAAGAAAATTAAAAAGTGAGAGCAGCGCGTTGCGTTGTTTTTGAAAAATTTTAATTAAGCGTACTATTCCGACGGATAAATACTTAATAGACGATTGACATGATAAAGTGAGCGAGGCACGTTCGTTCGGATCGTAGGGTGAAGAGGGTTTTGAATATATTGTTTACTCGACTTGGTCAGCCCTCGCTGGACGGTGGCCAAGACGGATGGACAAGTTGATTAGCGAATCGATTGAGGAAATTAATAATAACGAGGATGGTCGTTGATTCCATTCCCTTTTCAACAGGTTGAAAAACCTGAAAAACCTCTCGGAGTCAGAATCCAAATTTACCGACAATCGTAAATAAATAAATAAATAAATAAATAAATAAATAAACGAAAGTGTCCAAAAATATTTAACCACCTGATTAACTCGATTGATTTTCATCCTTCCGTCGCGAATAGAACGAACAACAAAAAACTACGAGAGAAATTAACAAAGACGAGTCTCCGAGGAATAATTCATCCCTCTCCGACCCGTCGGAAAGAAACGAAAGAGATAAAAGGCAGAGGAGAGCGAGCAATATTCGAAGAGTCGTCGAGCAATATTCGAAGAGTCGTCGAGCAACATCCGCTGCGACGTCGTTTGACAGAAAAAAAAAAAAAGAAAAAAAAGAAAAAACCACCACCTTGGATCTTTGCGCGATTTCCACGCGGCGCGGCCGTGGAGGGGGAGAGGGTGGAAAAATCCGGCGGTCGGAAAACGTTAAACGGAAATCAGCCGGCCGCACACAAAGAGTCGACGTTTCTGGCGGGGGTGGCGGACGGGAAGGAAAACTCTTTGACGGTGGAAACGCGCTCGAAAAGATGGGAAACGCAGCGGGGGAGGGATGTGTAAGTGTGAAATTGCCGCCGATGCTCCGGCTGGAATACGAGAATATCATACTCCTCTCTCTCTCTCTCTCTCTCTCTCTCTTCGCGGCCGGAATGTTTCAGCAGCTGCCTTTCAACGCGCCGATGGACGCGCGAAACGGGGGTTGGTTTCGTCGTTCCCCTATCGGAGAACGTTTGTCACGCGGAGCAGAAATTGTAGATATCGAGACGTTTGAGTATATACAGATGTTTTAACGCTGGAATTTTTGACGGTGTCGAAGCTTGAATTCATCGGCGAGCTCAACGTTGAAAGTTGAAAGTGGATGTTTGAAAGAGTTTGACGGTGTGAAGACGTTGGACCTTTGGACGAAAATTTTGGAATTCTCAAAGTTTCTGGATATATTCGAATACTTTCGAGGTTCAGAGTTTTAAATTTTCAGAGTGTCAGACTGAATTTTGTCAACGTTGGAAAGTTTGACAGTATTCGAACCGTGAATACGTCGATATTAAGAGAGTTTGATGTTTGAAAGAGTTTGATGCTATGAAGTTTGACGATTAGATGCTTAAATGTAAATTTTGGAATTTTCAAAGTTTCTGGATGTATTCGAATACTTTCAAGGTTCAGAGTTTTAAATTTTCAGAGTGTCAGACTGAATTTTGTCAATGTTGGAAAGTTTGACAGTATTCGAATGTGAACACGTCGATATTAAAAGAGTTTGATGCTATGAAGTTTGACGATTAGGTGCTTAAATGTAAATTTTGGAATTTTCAAAGTTTCTGGATGTATTCGAATACTTTCAAGGTTCAGAGATTTAAATTTTCAGAGTGTCAGACTGAATTTTGTCAACGTTGGAAAGTTTGACGGTATTCGAACGTGAACACGTCGATATTAAAAGAGTTTGATGCTATGAAGTTTGACGATTAAATGCTTAAATGTAAATTTTGGAATTTTCAAAGTTTCTGGATGTATTGGAATACTTTCAAGGTTCAGAATTTTAAATTTTCAGTGTCAGACTGAATTTTGTCAACGTTGGAAAGTTTGACAGTATTCGAACGTGAACACGTTGATATTAAAAGAGTTTGATGCTATGAAGTTTGATGATTAGATGCTTAAATGTAAATTTTGGAATTTTTAAAGTTTCTGGACACATTCGAATACTTTCGAGGTTCAGAGTTTTAAATTTTCAGAGTGTCGGACTGAATTTTGTCAA